ATCGAACACATTTTGTTCAGGCAGAACTTCCGCGATGGATGGGAACCCGGAGGAGCATCATTTGCCGTATTTGTAAAAGGAGAAAAGGTAGTAGACATATGGGGCGGATACGCCGATAAGCAAGCTGTCCGCACCTGGAAGGAGGTATGCCAACTATTGTTTAGGATTACTGATAAGTCGAAATAAATTAGATATCCAGGACACGATTACGATAACGTTCTCCATTACTAAAGCTGTGTCAGCACTGTGTATAGCTGTGCTCGCCGATCGAGGCCGCCTCAATTACGACGATCCTGTCGCGAAACATTGGCCAGGATTTGCGAAAAATGGCAAAGAAAATATCACCATCGAATGGGTTCTGTCGCACATGGTGCGTCAATTTTGACTCATTGAAGAATAAGAAGGAAGCAATCAAGCATTAGCGTACGTGTAAATCCGCTTGCGAGCTTGAGTTCAACGGCCGTGCTTCTAAGCGTCTGTTTCTTCGCAACACCATTCAGTCAGTGACCATATTGCAGCGATTTTCCGCTACCATAACATATAAGGCTAGCTACCGGAGTACTTTGTATCCTTCTATCCTTGCTTCTATCCGAAATACGTATCTTGCCTTCAGGCCGGTCTACCGTACTTAGATGCGATGATTACTCAGGAAATGGCACTCGATCACAATATAATGAGAGAGGTGTTAGAGAATGAAGCACCAAAGCTGCCACCTGGACAGAATACCACCTATCATGCATACACCTTAGGATGGCTCCTGGATCAAATCGTAAGGCATATAGATGAGAAGCATCGAGGAGTCGGGCAGTTTCTCAGGGAAGAAATCACAAAACCACATGGTTAGATTTTTGAACGTTTAGTCCCCAACTTCATTCACAACTAGGAAGTGGCTTCGTATGGTTTAAAATTTTTCCGATACTACTGATCTCGATTGATCAACACGTTTCATATTACAATCACTGTTCCGAAATATTATCTCCATTACTTTCAGCATGAGCTGTAATCATTACCCGTTACTCTTTTTCTATTCTCTAGATTTCTATTTTCGAAAAGATCGAAGCAAATATTTTTGCTTTACGTTATATTATTAGCATATTTTATTATTATTTATTTTTAATGTTTTCTTTCTTCTCTATCAGGAGTCGACTACCACATTGGTTTGAAGCCTTCTGAGGAGCGTCGGGTGGCTAGAATGACTCCGCCGTCAGTCCCGCAAATATTCTCAGAAATGTGGCATAACCCGAAAGTTGCACGGGTCGTCCGCACTTTCTACAATATGAACGAGGTAATCTGCGCGGACTTAAAAAAAACTTGTCAACCTTGCTTACTTTGCACATCGCAGTGTTGCTTTTTCAGACACACTCGAGGCTTTCTTCCTTAATCTTTAGTTATGCATTGACTGATTAAGAGCTTTATACCAGCAACAATCAATATGCACGAATTCCCCCGTAACAGTCCAATTTGCCAGTTGTAGCAGAACTCGTTGTTCTTCGTTCAGGACACGCTCATTGGAAGGGCAATGCGAAATGCCCCATGGATAGACGTTGCGGACAAGTGTACAGTAAACAGCCCTGAACTGCATGCACTGGACCAAGCGGCTCTCACTGGTTTGGGGAACGCGCGCTCCCTGGCTTACTTATTCAGCCTGGTCAGTTACTTCTATTCACAATGCAGTGTCGTTATCGGTTGTCGTTTTCGTAATGACGCTTATTCAAAAATGCTGCGTGGAGTGTCTTACTCGGCATGGATGGCTCCGCTCTCACACTATGCAGTTGGCAATCACTTTCAACCGCTGCTGTAATTTCTCCTTTAAAAAAACTATTCCTCTTTCGCCAAAACATGCAAAGCGTGCCTTTGTACAGGTATCAGAACGTTAGAAACACAGGACGCCATGCTCCTGAGAGACACTCATGAGATATCAGAAAAAATTTCGTTCGAAGGCGCTTAGCTGTGTCTTATATCAACCTTGAACGTGTATTTCGCCAATTCATCCTTTACTATTGCAAGCGGACAATACCGTAATATTGGCTTGATACTTCGCCTCCCATAAGCCAATCGTACATGTGATTATTATGCTGACTAGGGATGGTCGTCAGGTCGAAGTGGCCATTTGTAATGAGATGTAGCTCACTAGACGTGGTTTTGGACGCTGATCTCGAATCTGCCTTCGAAATTTGCAGAACGATTCTATGAACGGAGTTATGGAGCTTTTTCCACCGCGTTTACCACGCAACAGGTCGTGGGATCGGATCCCTGCTGGGCTTAAATTTTGCTTCTTGTGCAATGCCGTGATGGCAAAGAAGTGGTTGTGGCGTCAGTGCTACATTAGCGCTCTTCTTTGCTTGCCTGAAAAAACAGTTCGTGTTCGCTTACTGGCGCGCTTAGTGCCTTATGTGCCCTAGTGCCTCTGGGAGAATTTGTGGATGTACAGGTGCCCTTGGCGCGGAGTGCAGGCGTTTTCGCGCTGAGCGAGTGCCATATTCTTGTTTATCGGAGCGAACTACGCCTAGGTGGAGGTTTCTAGCCAAATCTGGCGTTTTGACCTCACATCGACAAGTGAAGCATCCATGGGTTCATTCATTCGATGTTCACACCTATTCCACTGCAGATACATTCTCCTGCGCAAAGCCTCGTCTTGCCATTTCTTACGCATCCATTTTGTTACTGCTCCGTTTTCCTGGTATCTCAAAGCAAGTTCCGTCCAAAGACAAGCAATCGACAAGAGACTGGCCCTGGAACTATTGGTGACCATCATTCGATCAACTGCTACCGCACTTTTCATAGTTAGGTCAAAACCTCACTTCTGGCTAGAAAGCTGTCCCCAAGGGTAGTTTTGCTCCCTGAACACGAATATGGCACCCATTTGGCGTTTGAGTGTTTTCCAGACTTAAAAGAGACATTCCCCACAAAATGCAAAGAAAGTTCGCCCCCCCCAAAATCCGAACCACTTCATAGGCAATGCCCGCGAAGCATGACCATTTACCACTACACCAAGCCACCGTTGAACGAAATCCGTGCTTCCCGGCTATTTATGCGAATTGGCTGGCAACCGCGCTCGACTCTGTTTTCCTACATTTCAATTCTAAAAACCTTCATAATTCCGCTCATAGAATCGTTCTGCAAATTTCGAAGGCAGATTCGAGATCAGCGTCCAAAACCGCGTCTAGTGAGCTACATCTCATTGAAAATGGCCACTTCGACCTGACGACCTTCCCTAGTGAGTATTATAACATGATATGTTCCTACTGACTACATAAGAGTGTTGCGCACTACTGCCAGCATGTCGGAGTCGGATAATCGTATGAGAATTATTTTGTTGGAAGGGATTCCTCTTAAGTTTCTGTGATTCCTTCTACTTTCCACTCTCCCTCTTCGCTGCGGAGCATTCCAAACGCTCTATTGGTTTACATGACAGCGCTGGAAGCTGGCAGCTACATGAGATGGCTAGACTCTATTAACTTCAACTAGGTCACATATATAAGCGATGGCCATCAAGCGAGCAAGTAAATTAGCGCAGTGTAGGGGTCTCTAAATTCAGGGAGCGCTGTGAGAAAGCCAATTTTCTTTAAGGAGCACCCCCCCCCCCCCCCCTGCGAGTGCACTGTCTAGCACTTCTATGTGAGTTTAATTCGCAGACTTTACAGCCAAGCTACCTATCGGATGATATGAAGGCTGCATTGATATCCTCCACGCCCTCTTTCTGCCGACCTTGGGGCGGGGCTTGAACGTGTTGAGTCTCACCTGCAGGTGCTTTATGGAATGAGTAGCCGACATAAATTCAGCGAAATTGACATAGTTCAACTTCTTTTCAGCAGGGACTTTTCAACTACGAGGTGACCACAAAAAAGATAATGAGAAGTGGTGTAGTACAGCAATCGATTGGAGAAGTCGACAAAAAAATGACGCGACACTGGCCCTTATTTGCTATTTCTTGACTGGTGTTCAGTGAAGAAACAGTTGGCTACCGATGGCGCTCCACTCAAGCTCATCTTTTGCTCTTTTACGAAGATTTTTTTCGCTGCAGTCAGAAATGCAAGGCTATCTTTCGTAATCATAATCCGCCAAGAAATCGGTACCTCGTCACGGAAAACTATTATGTTGTTTTTTTCAGTTTACTACAATGACCGTATCGTGAGCATGAAAACAATGCTGCCCTAGCCCGAACCAGTCATCCAGGCGAATCCGACCAAGTTCTAACTGGCAACACAGTAAGACATGGATTTCTTTTTACTACCCACAACAAGGAAAATCTGAGGTGTGCCAGAAAACAAACATGTGTACATGATTGACATTGGTGTTATCGATACTCCCTAGTAGAAGCTCTGCGCTTTTTTGAGCAATTCTAGGCTGCACTTTTATGGTTATTGCCACATCACTACATATGCTAAACTTCGCGTTCTTCATTTTATGGATACTCCTTGATTTTTCTTTTCAGGATAGCGGTGATAAACTCGCTTAACGGAACGAGCACCATGCTAATGAGCGCTTCCGTATTTTCTCAAGTCCCATTAGTTTACTGGCTGATGATTTTTGCCTCTTTCCTTCCCTCTTAAGTTCACTTACACAGTGCCTGCTATATAAGTTTGCATGCAAAATTGTATTATTGCGATATGTGAAACAATAATAGCCATGCAGATCGCGGCGGTGCTGATTGAGTCTCCTACTACCAACCCTCTTCCTTCTTCCACCAACTTTTTGAAGTGATTACGGTTTTTCGAGCATAGCCATGCAAACCAAAAAGAAAAGTTTGATTTTGGCAGCGACAACGAATTGCTGCTTGCGAAATGCCTGTGCTATAGTGTCTAAAAACCTGGAACATTGTGTATGAGAGAACATGCAATTAAGAACGTCATAATAAAGACAGCTTTCCAGAAAGGTCTCATAATGGGTCACGTTGGTTACGGATGCCAACAGGTGATGTTTGACACGGAGAACAAAATCGCTTTTGCCTATGTGACAAACGGACTGAAAGCAGGCATAGCTCATATCTGCCGCAACTACTTGAGACTGGAAAACACACTCTACGAGACCCTGCAGGACAGCTGTTCGGAAACATCCACGAAGGAAAACACTGCTTACTAATTTTGAGGAAGATCTCATGCGCAGTTATAGAACACCCGTGTTTGTTTAAATTTCATAAATAATTATCACTGCATGTATTGAGTGCTACATAATGATGTATGGAAAACTATGAACAACTGCATAGATAGCAATCTGTAGTGGAAACGACAAGCGACGGTCAAGCATAAGAGTCAGTAGTCATGTCAGGAAGAGTGAGCTGGCCATCTCACTGACGTGAGACATTTTGTAGTTCAGAGATAAGAAATTGCATCCTCTGCCTTTTTGCATATATTCGGACATTCGTGCTCCCATTCAGGCATTTCATGTTCCCCTAATCTTATTCTTACAGACGCGTTGCGAACCCTCACATCGCATATTGTTTTAAATTTATAGTGTGGCGACGGATGCCACTTACTGACCAAATCTGCAAGCTGCAATATTTTCTATGTACACGTTAAAAGTCGTTATCCATCGTATCGTAAAATAAAGTAAATAAAGTATTTGAATAATAATACTATATGTATGCAATAACAGAAAAAGGAGTTCGATTCTCCAAAAGCACCATCCTATCGATGCATGCGGTACATCTGGAAATCCCTGAGAAGCGGTAGTCATGGCTGCCTACTTCAAGTGAACGTGGCGACGGCTGCCTTTCGGTGGGATGGCAGTCGTTTACGGCTTTTTATAAACCTCGGCATTGTGTCGATTGGATTCTAAAGTGCAGCACTGAAGTTGAGTATCGTGAGCGTATTCACAGTTCACTTTCAGTAAAAAGTCCTTGGAAGAAAGGAGAAACAATTTCTCATATCTAATAGAACAATGGGACCCTTGCTTGCACCAAGGTTTGGCTCTAGCTTATGCAAAATACGACACGGTTTTCGTGGTAGTTTCTTGTCAACACCTCTGTTCATTTCTTTCTCGACCTTATGACACAATTACTAATCTTTCATAACGGGAGCCGGCTAAGATTCGAGGCATAAGGGCTCGAAGGAGCCTTTTTCTAAGAGAGAGGAAAAGATTCGATAGGAATACCCGTTGGAGACTAAGCAAGAGCAGGGAGCAGCATGCAAATGAGCAAGGCGACGGATACGTCGGCTGTCTGCGCGAGCGGAATAAGTTGGCTCGCGCCCTTGCGCCCTTTTCTCAAGACCTCTGACACGAAACTTGTGCACCATTTTTCCTTGAAATCAACACTACCTTGCTCTTTGGAAAGCGGCGGTTCCTATAAGTGGTCCTCCAATTCTGAATCAGGGTTTTGAGTCAACAATTGAGAGAAGTGCGAAAAACGCATGAACCACTTTTGAGAGGACAGCTGCTGGCACGGCGATGGCAATATCCTTTCATTCTATAAACCAGTAACTTTGTGTGTCGGTTTGTATGTTTGTATGGTATGTATGTATGTTTGTCTGTCCGTCCGCAAAATACTTCACGGGTTCGAGTTCGCTGGAGGCGAAAACGACCGCTAGGCAAACCGGTAACCGACTGGGAGGATGTAGCAATCCAATGTTTTGATTGTGATAACAGCCTCCGCTATATAAGACAACCATTCGGTACACTCCGAGCCATTGCACGAGCTGCTGGCGTGGCAGCTGGACGTGTGCTCGTGCGGGGGCAGGGTGGGGTGGGGCCGAGAGAGGGGGGGGGAGGGCACTGCCCCCCCCCTCTCTGCCCCCTTCCCCTGCGCGTGCTCAGCCCGATCTGAGCATGCGCAAGAGAAGGAAGCAGAGGGACGGTCCGACTGGAACACTGGGGCGTTTTTTCAAGGTATGGTATAGGTTATGGCACAGGAATATGTGGGTGACAAGAACTGCTAGCCGGCTGTATGAAACGGATGACCAAGGACAACATACTCATAACGCGGTACACAGCATCAGTTAGGCGTTGATTTCAGCAAACGATATCAAGGGGAAGGTGGAGAATGCGACGGCGGGTGACAAGAAATATCATAACAGCAGATAGGGCCTGAAAGAGAACGATGCTGTTGTTGTTCAATCAAACGCTGTAGCCTCTATACCACGAAATTATGGAGTTTTAGTGATAGCGACATTGATGGCGAGTGGCAAGCAATTTTATCAATTGATAAGTAAAGATAAGAGGACATTTTCACGACATCGCCAAAAAAGCCTCTCACAATAGGGCGAAAAGATACCAACTCGTCCTGGCCATTCAGAATGAGATGTATACTCCTAGGAGCGTCTCCGGATGCTGATATCAGATCTGACTTCCAAATCTGCTAAACGATTCTGGGTGGAGAGTTACGGACCTTTTTTGCTACCGTGCTTAACCATTGCGGTGCGACCCCTGCCCATGCTTTGCGCTCGTAAACCCCTCGTGACCCAGCCGCCGCCGTGGCTCGATGGCGCAGCAGGTAGGTGGATGGCTTCATAGTAGTGAGATGAAGGTTCAAATCCTTGGTGCATTTCCTAGTTTTGCTTTTTCCTTGAAACGCATGCTAAACACTTGGGAAGTAGTTTTGCGTTTTCCTGTCGACTACCCGAGACACATCCCTGCCTACTTATTGCAGCCCCGCGAATGATTTCGCGGAAACTTTACGCTTTTTGCCTAAACTAGCTCAAGCAGGACCAAATACATGTGCACTATCTGCTTGAGAGCTCGCGTGAACTGCGAGCATTTCATTTTCTATCCCTATAGGATGACAACGCAACATCCCGTCTTTGCTACCTGCTTCACCACAGTGTAAATGTTTCGGCCGGACTCTTGGTGCTATCTAACCTAGTGAAAAAGAATTCGGGTCTTGCGATATTGTTTGATCACTATCCCGCAAAGAAAAGAAGATTGCAGAGAGTTTCTATCCTATTGTGCGCGACGCACTGTACTACAACCGTATAATCGACTGCGAGGGAGATAGCTTCGTGGAGGACGAACATACGGATCCTTTCTGGGCATCTGAAGATAACGATGAATCCCTTCAGAGCATCTAGATTTGAACAATTTCTTTCTTAATCCTGGTATTCAGCAGGTTACCTTGACACTCATCCAGACGAGTTCGAGAGTTCTCTCCAATATTGCATTACATATCATCTGGAGGGAATCTGTGAGAATAATGGTTGCAGCGAAACTCTTTTTATTCGCAGCTCACACTGTGAAGAACTTTTTTGCTCTAACCATTTTGTATTGGGATATCAATAAATGAAGGATGAATGTGCTCGCTCAAAGGCACAACCTGCAATAAATCGCGATCACAGATAGTGCATTAGGGGTGTTAGCATGGACTAGACGACAATGTGCTGTGTAACTCGGGTGTAATGAAAAAAAAGGCAGAAAAAACTCGTCACCCGCCTTACAATTAGATAGAACCCCATTTCAAGCCACTTTGTACGTGCCCAGTGAGCTCCATCTCCTACACTACGCCCTCATCCACACAGCTTATTCACTATAAGAACTCTACGACCTTACAAGTGAGCTTACGATTTTCATGCTTTTTCGTCCTGCAGCTTCGTTTTTCATTGGATGATGGGCTTTGAAGGCGGAGTCTGGAGACCGAGCAACCTGGCTAAAGGCAGTGTCCTCTTGAGCCCTATATTGCCGATATAGCACCCCCCCTAACATTTTTTCGCGCTAAAAATTCTAATACAAGGTTGTTGCTGCGACACCTAATCCTCGCGACACCATATTTCCCAACTTTATTCCTGATCGTGGACCAAGCCTTTGATGTTTCCCATTAAATACGAAAATATATGCCTCGAATGAAGCTGTCACGCCAACACCATCAAAATGAATGCTTTCACTGAAGTTAAAATAAAACCCCTGAAAAGTCGCACATAGGCCCTAATAAGAAGCAGGGAGGGGTCTTGGTGGTCGGACAGGTACGCAAAACTACTTCCCAAGTGTTTAGCATGCGTTTCAAGAAAAAGCAAAACTACGAAATGCATCAAGGATTTGAACCTCCGTCTCACTACTATGAAGCCATCCACTTACCTGCTGCGCCATCGAGCCACGGCGGCAGCTGGGTCACGAGGGGTTTACGAGCGCAAAGCATGGGCAGGGGGTCGCACCGCAATGGTTAAGCACGGTAGCAAAAAAGGTCCGTAACTCTCCACCCAGAATCGTTTAGCAGATTTGGAAGTCAGATCTGATATCAGCATCCGGAGACGCTCCTAGGAGTATACATCTCATTCTGAATGGCCAGGACGAGTTGGTATCCTTCCCTTGTGAGAGGCTTTTTTGGCGATATCCTTCCCTTGTCAGTAAGCGAAATTTTCCCACAGCCATCACTCCTCTGAGAGCACTAGAAAATGTACTTATCCCACTAGGGGGGGGCGGGGGGGGATATACTTCGCCTGAAACAGGAAGTTTGGAGAAATCAAAAACTCCAATATTGGAACACACTTTATGCGTTCAGTGAGTATTTAAATATTTTTTTTGCTTTTCAACATTAAATCACTGATGAGAACGAATAACGAAGTAGTTTGTAAGATTCAATGAACGCTGCCTGAAATTATTTGTCATCTGCGCCAGCCATTCATGCAATCCTTAGCAGGTGCGATTTCGTTAATGCACAAGTTAATCGCCACGTTGGTTGTTGAGCACACAGGCTGAGAAAACGGAATGTGTTCGATCTACTGTGCAACATGTATTGATATTCTGTACTTCCTATCTATTTCTGAGATCTACGTATAGAATGGGCGTTATGGCCGAAACCACACGCCTTCCGCAACTCTGAGGGGTGCAGATTTCGCTAGGTTACTCTGTCTATTATGATTCGACCACTACCGCGCAATATGAGCAGCTCATACAATTAACTAATTCCATCCCGTTATGATGTGCGCCTGGCGCAGCCAGGCCAGCTCGGCGAAGCCGAGCTAAAAAGAAGGAGGAGAGTTCGGCGTCAGCCGTGCGGTCCGACTGGTAAATAGTAATATGACACGGCGATGAGACAATGAGCGTGGAAAAGAGGAAAAAATTAGGCGAGAGAGTACGCACATGATCGAGAGCTCACCGTTATATGTTGATTTAAAAACTACGCAGGGAGGAGGAGCACGATAGTGAAGGGGTGAACT